AGAGAACGCAGAACAGAAATGCTAGATTTTGAGGGTGAACGGTTCTGTAAAACCGAAATAGATTCTTGGAATGAAACAAAAGGTATTCGCAATACAGAGCAACAATGGGTTGGCCGCACAGTTTTCAAAAAGGCGCTCAACAAAACAGATCGTATTCCACCATCACAGATTCGGAATCTTTCAGAACAACAGGAGTGTCTGAGTAGTCAAGGAGGTCAACTCATTGTTTACTATGATGAAAGCTTGACATCCTCACAGCAGCCAACTCAGGTGACACTTGCCGCTTGGAAGAGTTACCGCTTGAAGCGGAAAGTTGTTAGCACCTTGGGAGCAGAATGTCAAGCTCTGGTCAACGGAGTTGGACATGTGAACTGGCACCGGCTTTTGCTGTTGGAAGTGTTGAGTGGTCAATTAACCTCTTCTGAGTGGGAACTCCGCTTGAAAGAATTGCCATTCATTTCGGTCACCGATAGCAAATCTCTTTACGATTCTCTTAAGGAAGCTTGTCCTGCAGCGCAGTTCAGCGACAAAAGAGTTGCTATAGATATATCTGTACTGCGAGATGAGTTTCGCCATCAAGGCGGCTGCATCAGGTGGATAGATACACGAGCTATGATCGCAGATTCCTTAACAAAAGATTGCCTGCCCGGATATCTTCGATACATCATGGAACATGGTAGATGGGCAATTTTCGAAGAAGGAGTAGCTCTCCAAAGGAAAGCACTCGAAAGAAAGGACATCCAAAAGAAAGTTGGAGCAGTGTCGAAAGGGTGTCCACTGACCTGACCGTTGGATGTCCTCCCGCCACCAACCGTGTGGCTCAAGATCTCGTTCGCCGATCGTTGTCAAACAGTGCGCCATGACACCTTGCTTTTGATCTCCCTACCACCTGTTTCATACAATATACACATATATATACATTGAGTTAAAATGATATTACGACTGACTATGATATAGGTTTGTCGAGCTTTTCCCCAAGGCGGTTGCAGCTTTGTGTCGCGAAGTTCTTTTTTTGTGTGTTTACTTCCCGGGAGTTCCTGACAACAGCTTTGGTTCGACCTGGCCAAAGCCTGATATTTGCCGCTTGTTGCAGCAACTGCATATAGGTGCTGGCTGCTTGCGTTTCAATTAAAGTTGATTTGCAGAAGAATAGGCAGTATTCAATACTATTCCGCTATGCGTAGATGCTGTTTGATGCTGTGAGTTGCACATGTCAACCTGCATCAACCATAGACAATGAAAAGCGCTTCACTTCAGACGGAACACAAAAAGGATTAAAAAAAGGATACAAAAAAATATTATATATACAAGAAGACACAAGAAACACGAGATGACCACGGGAAGTTAAGGTAACGTAAGGTCTTCACCTCAAGCTCCTTCCTTCATCTCTTTTATCTTCTTTAGGAGGTCTTTCAGATAACTGGATTTGAGTGCAAAGGCTGGATCACCCTGGTGGACACCTCCAATCAACTTCGCTGCGGAGTGAAATCCAGGAGGGGCTCAGGGAAACATAACATGCTGGATTGTCATTGTTGAAACCTTTGCTACCTAGTTTCTCAACAAAACTAGTTTCTCAAATCATTAAGTCTAAGTCCTTTTGCGTCCTGGTAGCGGCCTAGTAGCTAGTAGCCTAGTAGTGCTTACTAGTAGTTTCTAGAAGCTGAGTAGTTCAAGCTTACCTATTTGTTTCATTATGTTTCCTACATTTTTCTACCTTGCGCAGCTACTTCTTAAGCTACATCCTCATGGCCTACCCCTCTCGCCTTAAAAAGAAACTATATGATGTATGAAACATTGAGTACATATATACATATACATAATTAGTTTATGTATTTGTCGTAGTATTTTTAAGCACATAATTGTAATATATAACTATTATATAAGTGGCTTTGATTCCCTGTGCCCCATGACGTGATGTCAAAGGATTTGGGACTTTGTGCTTCTGTCCTATCATGACGAAAGTGCTTTCTCTTCATGTGCAGGAAGGCTGTGCAGGTTGGCAACTCAGCCATGCTCTGAAGTGCGCGTCCTCTTCTTACAGAGCCATTGACAGTTTGAAGGGTTGATCCCCTAGCTCGTCCAGCCTTTATGCTTGCACCAATGTGAAGCTCTTTATTTGATAAATTTTAAATACTGTACATAGTTCGCTCGCATCAGCATGCTTGCTGGTTTAGCACATGTGAATGCACTGTGTGAGTCCGGCCCACCAAGGCTCGCAGTGAGCGTAGTGCTTGCACTGTATGGGGTTAACGGCACGGTGGCATGGTCATAGGAAACTTTCACATGTTCAATGGCGCTGTGATCAAAACAGTTTGCACTGCGAAGACTACTGTACATGTTGTATCATCATGCAGCTTTTTGCTGGTAACCAGATAAGTTGACAGCCAAAGAAGTCCCACCTTTGTCTCTTGTCTCACCCATGTCCAGTCTGTGCAGACCAAGGTGATGTGATGTTTTGGCGATTTCATGTTCTTGCAAGTGGCAAGCATGTTATGTCCTTGATCCAAGCAGAGATTCATTGGTCAGTGACAGACAGTCTGTGCCATTCATTCCCACAAAAAGTCGCAGAGTCTTCGGCTTGGCAAGAACCCGGGTCAAGAGAGGTATGATAATGTAGACATGTTCTTCCCAGCGTCCACTGTGCTCAATATTATGCTTGCTTAATCTGCAGTAGTGAGTTTAATGAACCTGTGTTAGAATTAACTCGAACTGCAGCGTCGCAACTTCATCCAGTGAGAACTGCAGGAGTGCTGGCCAATCAGCTGACTGAGCCGACTCTGTGGATTCAAGCACATGTAACTGCCAGAGCGGACATGCAGGCAACGAATAATACATGGGCATAGATGGCATAGGTGATCATACATGGCATTCGTCTACACACGCTACGCTTGCATCGTGCATACAAAGAGAGTGGTGAAGAGCTTGAATCTGCGCACGCCCATGGTGTTCCTGCGGTGCTTCCGGTATTATACAACACTTGTCTCACTCTATCGGATAGGCGCGGACAGTCGTTTCATTTCTGGGAGCCCACACACCCCACCCATTAGATTGTTTGGTGGTTGCATGTCCTTTCACCTTCTCCCCTCTCAAAGTGTGCAAGTGAGTGCTCGGGGCGCAAGTGAGGTAAAGTGCGCAAGGCAGATAGGGTGCGCAAGTGGTATGATGCTGCAATGGGCCAGTAGGAATCGGTCTGTGTTCCAAAATGATCCGCAAATTCCTGTAAGACTACAGTTTTGGAGACTGTTTGCTGAGTCTGTGTGCTAAAATGAATTAAAATGATTTGTGTTCCAAAATGATCCGAAAATCATTACAAATCACCCAGACCCTGGTGTTGACTGAACCTAATACAGTCCCTTCTGAGTGACTCTCAAATCCATGCTTCCAGCATGTTGAAGCATGCTGAACACAACACACAAGGAGATCCCAAAGCAAGCGAGTCTCGCGGAAAAATATACTATATATATAGTGGCTCTTGAACTCTGGCAGCTACGCGCAGGATTGAGCCAGTGGCAGGTTTTGTTTGGATTAGCAATCGTGATTATATATAGTATATATATATTGATATTGATGAATTGTGGATTTGCGCTAATATTTAATATCCCAAAGATTTATCAAGTCATTTTAGATATTTTAGGTCAAATTGAATGAATGTTGCAAACGCCTTGGGATGATCAAGACGGCACGACTAGTTCAAACATAAGTAGCTACAAGACAGACGTGGAGAGTTTTTGGAGAGCCTCGGCCATCGTTCGAAACATACAGGCATAGCAAGGGCAAGGAAGAGTTGCCCATAGCCGGGTTGACGACCAGAATTGCAAAAGGTATATTATAGGAAGAGTCTGAGAGAGGCCCGCAAACTACAAGACAACTTCAGCTTACACTGGCTTGAGCCCAAGCGTCAGGCTATCTAACACAGCAACAAGGCAGCAGGATGGCGAACGCTGCAGATTTGTTGAGCACATCTACATATTTATTATGACTAGAACAAATCTGTCACAGGTCTTTATTCGTGTGCTTGCAACTGTGAGGCTATTCTTGTCTTCAAGCTCAATCTAACGTAGGCGGCCTCGAAGAATGACTTCTGGGTCCTTCTGCCAAGGAGGATATTTAAACGGGAAGAGTTCACAATCGCCGATTCAGGAAACCTCAGATAGGTAAAAGCAAAGCTTTGTCAGCCTAGCACGCTTCATTTGCATTGAGCTTCCCACACCGACGATGGGGTCAAATACCAACAACAAAGTCATGAAACCTTTTGTTGCTTCTTCTCACCATAAAAAAAATATCCACCTCCCTGCCCCCAAAAGCCTGCAACCCTGCTGCAACGCCCGCTAGAGTATGTTGTTGGCAGATTGGTGCCAGTGCCAGTGCCATAGTGTTTGGTATGTTGCCTCTTTTTTCCTGGATGCAGATCAGCATCGAGAAGCATCCAATCATGATGCACAGATTCCAATGGTACTTCATCATGAGCATGTTGTGCAGTCGTATTTTTGGCTCAAAGGTTGAGCAGCTTTGATTCAGACTATGTCAAAGTCAACTGCCCCCAATTCCCTCGCCCCAAATGACCCAGTCATTGCTCAACAATTTGGCATCAACGTTGTACAGATACTTTGGGATCCAAATTGCTGCTGCAAAACTCAATCCATTTGTGGAAATCCGGTTCATGTGACCAGGCCATTGCAGCGTATTGCAGCTTCATGCAACATTGATTTCCACCCTAGCGTTGCAGCCATGAAGGATGACAAAGCGCAAATTCACTTTGCTGCTGTGCGGGCAAAGTTAAACAAGCATTGCTATCATCAGCACATGAGCGGCTTGGGCGCAGTTTTGGGATGCGATGGATAGACTCAACACGTCGGAGAGATATGGCTTGGTTGTCCACACGTATGCTTTACATGGTTTTTGCTGCTCTTGTTTTTCTGCCCACGAACGTAATATATAGTCGGCCTTTAAAAAAGGGCGGATGGAGCTCAGGCAATGATTCTGTCTTATTGGCAGAAACCATGATCAATGACCTGATTGCCTCAGCTGCGAGCTTCACTGACTTGCAAAAAAAAGATAGTGAAAAGACGCACCTCGCTTGACTTGAGCACAACACCTCTTTCTGCAGGCATTTTTGTGTTTGTAACTCTTTTAGATTGGTGGCTTTCTTAGGATCATGTAGTGGACGATGATTCAAATTGTACTGTCAATACTTACCGCCAAAAATACACCACAATACACCAGCTTTGTTGGCGATATTTCCCAGGAAAGAGCTGCAGTTATTGATCACCGAGCTTGATGGTCTGCGAGTGGAGAACCCTAGGCTCAAGGCCGAGAACAACGTCCTGCACCTTGAAATCATGGAGGCCGTCGAAAGCACTGAGACCTGGGAGGCTTCGGTTCGTTCGAAGCTACAGAGCTTGGAAGATGAGATTGAGTCTACCAAAATGAATCTGCAGCAAGAAAGCCGCACAAACTTCCAGAAGGCCGGTTGAGTACTATACTATACTGATTTCTTGAGTTTGCATAGTTTTGCTTTGCAGTGTTGGAATGTGTTCCTCGAACATTCAAGTACAGTAACTCAAACGAAATCAAACGAACGTTGATAGCCTCATAGCAGCTGCATTGAGGAATCAAAAATTAAAAAGCTGGCCGCCGGAGTCATACGTGGTCCGACCCTGCAAGGAACAAGAGCTTCACCACCTACAGGCCGAGGCGACCGCATTGTTGCAGCTGGACGAGCTTGATGCGACAACAAAACCCTGTGATGCGCTGCCGCAGCGTTCAACCTTTCAGCCTGATGCTGAACCCTTGATGGAAAAAGAAGAAAGTTTGACCAATGCCCTGTACCAATGCCGCAGGAGCTTCGGACATGAACGTTTGCTGCTTTTTCAAGTGGCTGAGAAACAAGTCATTGACATCCCAGGTCCAAACCACAGGCCAGTCGTGCATTTCTTTGTTTCTTACGTACTCCACGGAACGGGGACATGCCGAAGCCGATGGTACCTTGACTGAGACTGAGGTACTGTCAAAATTATAGTCTTAAGGCAGCTACTCTTAGAAGCGCCTTGCTTTTTGTGAAAATATTCAGAAACCTGTAAAACGATTCACTATTAACTCTCAAAAAGCGACAACCTGTTTCTGACTTGTTATATATATGCCCAATCACATTGAAATAACAATGCTCATGGGACTTTCTCATGCGCATTCATTCGCTAGAGAAAAACCCTGCATCGGTGGCTCACATAGACTTTGTTTTGCTCCTGGGCTCCAAAGCTCTTCCCCAGGGTGACAGGTGACAGGTGACAAAGCTAAACGCTCAGGGCAAGCCTGACGCTTCGCCAGGAACAATATGTCCAGACATGTCCAGACAACCGAGCTGCTTATGTTACACTTATTTGCTGCCTCTCTTCTTTCTGGATTGGGATTCAAAGATGGTGGACATTTAGCAGTACAGTAACTACATTGAAGTTTTGTGCGTTCCTTTGAGAAACGCTCTACTACTGTCCGCCAAGCCTTCTCCCTGAGCCCAGGAGTCTCTTAGAGGTGGAAAGCAAGGTAGCGGCCTTTGTTGCTCGTTCCAAGGATTTGGAGGAACAGGCACGAAGCTTGCCATTGCAGAGATCGATGTAAAAGTGCAGATCACCTGTAAACAACCACTAGACCGACTGCAAATTCTATCCCAGATGATACCTGACCTAGTTCTACAGACAAAGTACTACAGAAGAAGAGGGTTTCCTTTCCCACAAACATCCACGGACAAAGGATGAGACATGTACAACTGGCATCAACTGGCTTTGTGTATGCGGTACATTTCTGAACGACACACACTTCTTGTTTACGGTTTGTTCTTTGAAGAAGCATTGTTGTTTTTGTGGTTCCAAACAGGCACTCATACCCACAGCCAACTTCTGCCTTAACCGGTGGTGTTTGACGATACTGCCAGTATACACATAGCGTATACTGTATCATTAGCATATGCACACATAAACACTATTCTTGAATTCTTAACGTCCTGGTTAGCGGTTTTTGAAATAACTGATGTCACGATGTCACCACTGGTGCGCATGGCCATGCGAGGGCAACAAGCTGTGCACGCAACTCTTTGAAGGGTCAAAGCCTTCACAGCCACTCCGACTTCGAGCAGTCAAAGCTCAGCTTGAGGCTTGGTCCCAAAATGATCCCAGTGTGGAAGTCTTTGTTTGTAATTGTTATTCCAAGTGGGAAAACTTGTCAGGAAGTTGCTGCAGTCGAGGGTGCCAGGGTGCATTGGAGGGGAGTTGCGCAGCCTTGAGGAAGAGTGTTTATGGGAAGCGGTTATATATGGTCGTCACATGTTCCTCGATCCTAAGCACAGACTGTCAGAACCAAGCGGGAAGCCAGGCAGAATCTTCCAGAAAGCGAAGAGGAGTGGAGGTGCGCAGTGTGGGGAGAGCAAGAATGCTACTAGGAGCAAAGGGCATCGCTACTAGGAGCAAGGACGCTACTAGGGGCTCCTGGCCATACTTGCTAGGAACAAGGACGCTAGTAGGTTGGAGGCCATTGGGAAGTCGTCCATGTTTAAACTTTGAACAAACGAGAGCTCAGATCCGCCGCACCAACCAGGGGAGATCCAAGGATCCTCTCAGTGACACTTATAATATGGGCCGTCCACTAAATAATTATTCCAATGGGGGGGTCACATACTGGAATATTTTTTTGAATAATTTTAACTGGAATAATTCTTTGACAGGGGGTCAGGAAAACTATGTAAGGGGGGGGGTAGAATAATAAACACTCTGATGTCAACCCCCCCTAGAATAGTTTTACTACATACGATAAGCTTGAACTCGACAACCCATTGGAATAATGAACAACTTGATGTCAACAACCCATCGGAATAATAATGCTGTTGAACTCCCTATCCCATTGGAATAATTGTTTCAAGAAACAGTTGCTCGCGGTTCACGATGTGTTTGTTTGCTCGGAAGAAGGAATGGGTGATGGAAGATGTGCATGTCAGCATAAACCCATGTTTTGAGTTTGATTGAACACATATATAATCATAATCAGAGATCTACGTTGCAAGAGAGTCTGAACCAACAGTGATGATGATGACGACAGATTTGACAAGATTTGAGAAAGTACATTTACTGTAGTAAAGATTCTTTTAGTATAGGAAGAACATGAACTATCAAGAGTCTAGACAATCTAGATGTCCACAGAACTATTCCAGGGGTGGGTGACTCCCCCACCCCCCTGGAATAAGTAAATTTCCTTGCATATGGCTGGGTGTGCCCTGATGTACCCTGTACTGGCAGGCTGGAATGACACAGATCTAGAACTAGATAATCCAAAAGCCAACCAGGACATTTTTCCAGGGCTGTGCCCTCCAGACCCCTTCGATGTTGGCCAGATATCAAAACTTGATGTCTACCTATGTGTGGAATATATATATATATTTTGTCTAAATTATTCCGGTATGTGCAGACGGGTCAGAATAATATTCTGGGATGATGTCCAACCCACCCAGAATAATTAAACAATTATTCCACCTGGGGGGGTTACCCAAAATCGATGAAGGCACGGCCCATCTTATAATACTTGAAGTCTAAGTGTACATGACTCGTCCATGTTTTACCGATTGGACCGCAGTCATCGCGCTCAAGTTGATGCGGCCCTTAGCTCTAGCGGGGGCCTCTGGTGGATTGGTTTCAGCCCTTTTTCACTTGGCTCAGGAGGTGCTTCGATCTGATTTCACTCAGCCAGAGCCCGTTTTCTGTCCCACTGAATACCAACAATTCGATTGGGAACCCATCCGAGGCTTTGGTGTTGATCTGAAAAGTTTGTGTTTGGGTATCTTCTTGGGGGTCTTGCTTGGGCCGGTGCTGGAAACTCTTGGTCTTTTACGACAACTGTGGGCCCTTCAGTTGAGAGCTTATTTTGGCGGTCAGGGAGTCGCCAACCGACCTGCCTTCCGGGTCCTCGCATGAGCCAAGCTGAGGGCCGTTCAGAGGTCCGTTCAGTTCGTTCAGTTGCAAGCCCTTTGTGCCTCTTTGGGTTCATTTGTGATCCGGTGAGTCATTTGCAGAGTCGAGTAGCAGCTCTTGAGAATAGTAATAGTAGACCAGGTCATTTGCCCAGTGCTGCAGCCAGTCAAGTTTGTTTGTGTGTTTTCGCACAGGGTCATCTCTGAGACGTTGTTGGTCGTTTCAGTTGATTCAACCCATACCGAGACGAGTGATCCCGAAGGCACTGCTAGTTTAGCCGAGCCAAGGGGAGTGACATCCTCGGAGGCGGGTGTGAGTGCGATGGCCGGTCCAAGTGCCTCGCTGGAGGCCCTTGAGGCTCTTCAGGCTCATGTCCTAGTTGCTGATAGTGCCGCAAGAGACGAGTATACCATTTGCACGCTTGACTGTTCGTCGTCCGAGGGGGCGACATTGTGTCATTTAATTCCTATAGCTGTGATTGATTCAAAGCTCTTGGTCGCAGTTCCACACAGTGCATGGAATAGGACGGTTGCAAAGCGTTTCCTCCCAGCAAAAGCTCTCGGACGCCCTGTCGCGGTTGAAGTTCCAGGTGTTTCGCCGGCTGACGAGTCCTATGGAGAAATGAAGTTGTGGTTTGGTTTCCTCGCAAGTGAATTGCTAGGTGCTGTGACGGTAGGAGTCTCGGATGCTTTCGATGTTGCTGATGCCGCAGGATCTCTTGTCGAGGTGGCCAATGATCAGTTTGGATTCTTTTCGGCAGCTAGTCATGCCGGTGATGAGGCTCCAGATGGAGCCAGTTCGCCAAAAGCACCCCAGCAAGAGGTTGAAGCTCGGTTGTCGTTGCTCGAAGTTGATTTAGCCAAGATTCGTGAGACGGTCTCGCAACTGCCTGATCTGATTCGCAAAACTCATGCGTCAAAGCCTGCTGCCACTGCCAAGCCTGATGACAAAGCTCCCAAAGCTGGCAAGCCTCGTTATGCAGGGTTGGACCCGGGTGTGTTGGCGGCTGCTCGAGCCGCTGGTGTCCCTGAAGCGCAGTTGGAAAAAGTGGCAGGGCTGGTGCAGAAGCAGCCTCGCATGCAAGACATCCCTGCTAAAGCTGTGGCGAGGGTCAATGTCCTTTCAGATCTGACGAGGAAGATGAAGCTGAGGAAGGAGACGCTGTTGATGATGCTGCCTCGCCTTCCAGCCCAGTCGAACGTGCCGTTGTGCAGTTGACCAAGCTCGTGAAAAATCTTGCAAGGGACAAGAAGCACAAGCAGGGGCTTGAAGCAATTCTCGATCGCAGTGATGTGTCTGGCGATGTTTCTTCCAGTTCCTCAGGGTCGCGAAGCAAAGCCGCTGCATACCAGCGGTTGAAAGCTGCTTTGACAGATCGGCCTGAGTGGATCTACCGTAGCATTGAAGACAAGCTTGAGGAAGATTTTACCCACCTCAGGTCGGCCCCGAATGCTTCAGGTCTTGCGGCTTCATCCAGGGGGTGGGTTGAGCACAGGTCAAAGTTGGGTCATTACCCTGCTACGATTCGGATGGCCTGGATCATAGCTGGTGTGCATGATGCATTGCGAGCAGGGGACCCTGAACAGGCTCGGGCGCGATGTGCGCTCGCCCTGGCTGCAATTGACCAAAGTGCCTTGGATCAGGGTTCATGGACCTTAGCCCAAGAATACCTTCTTGAGCTGCCTCCCCCTTATGGTTCTTTTGTCAATCGTCGACTTCCCGATGCTTCTGAGCAGGTGACCACCCGGTTGGCAGATGAGAGGCTTGCTGAAGTCTTGATGTGGCGTGTGAAAGATCGCGATAGCTTTGCAGAGTCCAAGAAGCGGTTGAACTCGAAACCATTGCAACCAAAAGCTCCCCCAACTTCAAATCCGGGCGCAAAAGCTGCTCCAAAGTGGATGGCCAAGCCGAAAGCCAAGACCAAAGCAGCTTTGATTCCTGGTGAAGAACAAGGGGGAGCGGAGGCTTGAGCGCAACTCGTTAATTCGATCACCTCTGAAGCATGAGTGAGGAACGTAAAGTCCCGGGAGCTCGTGCTAGCACAGTGCAATCAGACGTGTGGGATCTTGCTTTTTCAGTTCTCAGCAAGTCGAAGACGGGGCTTGCTAAGCTTTTTCACTCCATGCTCCGCCCTTGCGCTCGTGGTCCGCGAGCGTCTGAGAGGAAGATATGGCCCACGCCGCTTCCTTTCCCTGAAATGCATGTTCGGTGCAGCAATCGCAAGCAGGTCGATGCAGCCAGGAAGCTTGGCACCAACTACGTGGTTTTGGTGCTCAATTGGTTTGCTCTTGGAGAAGCTTTGCCTGCTAGCATTCAATTCGGTTTAGGCACGAAGCTGTCTTCGCACCAGTGGTCCGCAGTTAAGAGAATCGTGCCGCTGGTTGATAGTTGGAATTCGCATGAAGCGGTCGATGCCGCAGCAATGGGCAGGTCAGCCTCTAAAGTTGAGAGTCTGGAGGACGTGCTGGCCGAGCTTGATTCGTTTGCTTCTGCAGTTTGTTCGTATCATGGTGTTCATGGTGCCCCTCAGTCCTCTGTTCGAAGTAGCAAAGGTTTCTTTGGACACCCGGGCACGGTGGTAGGATCCCTAGGTAGCTGTGTTGAGCGTGCTGCCAAAGATATTGAACCGGAGCGATATGCGTGCCATGGTGCGCCGTCTTTCGATCCAGTATACCCTTCCTTGACAGCCGAAATAGAGAGATGTATGAATACCCCTTAGATCATGCTTTATCCTTGAGAGATGTTGAGGAAGCTGTTCCTCGCGTGCAGTTGAGATGTGACAGCAAGACTCAGTTGAAGCTCATGGAGAAGTTGGATCAGTGTTCTCGACTTCATCTATTGCCGTACAGCCGCGTTCGACTTGGGCTAGAAAACGGCATGTTTGCCATACCAAAAGACCAGCATAGGGATCGGCTAATCATGGACGCACGGCCAGCCAACTTGTGCGAGCAGTCAGAACAGCGTTGGGTTTTTTCGTTAGGCTCCTTGCAGCAACTGCAGCATTTGTTCCTTTCACCAGATCAAGTTTTGCTGATGCATTGCGAAGATTTGCGTGAGTTTTACCATGCTTTTAAGATTGGTGAGCAACGACGTGAAAGAAATGCTCTCAAAGCTCGGTTAAAGCCGCGTGAGCTTTGCCATTTGAAGTGTTTTCGCAGTGACCTGTGGAAAGAAGAGTGGTTGGTACCGGCGTTAGACACGATGGCCATGGGTGACACAAATTCGGTCGCTTTTGGACAGGTCGCTCACTTGTCTTTGCTGCTGCGAACAAACGAGTTTGAGCTTTCTGATTTCTTGGGGCTCAAAGTCCGCCCATCCCGAAAAGACTGGCACGCTGGTTTGATGATCGATGATTTCGTTTTGTTGGAAAAGGTCGACGCGCGCTACACTCCTGAAGCTGGTCCCACGCTTGGTGCTGAGAAGCTGTCCAAGGTTCGAGAAGCTTAT